GTGTGTGTGTGTACACATGCACTTAAGGAAGCTGGGGTGTGTGTGTGTGTCCGCACATGCACTTAAGGAAGCTGGGGTGTGTGTGTGCGTGCACATGCACTTAAGGAAGCTGGGGTGTGTGTGTGTGTGTGTGCATGCACTTAAGGAAGCTGGGGTGTGTGTGTGCGCGCGCGCATGCACTTAAGGAAGCTGGGGTGTGTGTGTGTGCGCGCGCATGCACTTAAGGAAGCTGGGGTGTGTGTGTGTGTGTGCACATGCACTTAAGGAAGCTGGGGTGTGTGCGTGTGCACATGGACTTAAGAGAGGGGAAGCTGGGGTGTGTGTGTGTGTGCATGGACTTAGGAAGCTGGGGTGTGTATGTGCGTGTGTGCACATGCAGTTAAGGAAGCTGGGGTGTGTGTATGTGTGTGTGCACATGTGCACTTAGGAAACTGGGGTGTGTGTGTGCACATGGACTTAAGAAGCTGGGGTGTGTGCCTGTGCGCGCACATGTGCGCAAGGCTGGGGTGTGTGTGTGTCTTGCACATGTGCATAGGAAGCTGGGGTGTGTGTGTGTGCACATGCACTTAAGGAATCTGGGGTGTGTGTGTGTGTGCACATGGACTTAAGGAAGCTGGGGTGTGTGTGTGCGTGTGTGCACATCGCCCAGGAAGCTGGGGTGTGTATGTGCGTGTGCGCATTGCATAAGGAAGCTGGGGTGTGTGCGTGTGTGCACATGCGACTTAAGAAGCTGGGGTGTGTGTGTGCGTGTGTGCACATGCACTTAAGGAAGCTTCAGGTGTGTGTCGCACATGCATAAGAAACTGGGGTGTGTGTGTGTGCGTGCACATGCACTTAAGGAAACTTTGGGGTGTGTGTGTGCGCGCACATGCATAGGAAAAGCTGGGGTGTGTGTGTGTTTGTGCACATGCACTTGAAGCTAAGTGTGTGTGTGTGTGCACATGCACTTAGAAGCTGGGGTGTGTGTGCGTGTGTGCACATGCACTTAAGGAAGCTGGGGTGTGTGTGTGTGCGTGCACATGCATAAGAAACTGGGGTGTGTGTGTGTGCACATGGACTTAAGGAAGCTGGGGTGTGTGTGTGTGCGCACATGCACTTGAGAAGCTGGGGTGTGTGTGTGTGCACATGGACTTAAGGAAGCTGGGGTGTGTGTGTTCGCACATGCACTTAAAGGCTGAGGTGTGTATGTGTGTGTGCGCACATGCATAGAAGCTGGGGTGTGTGTGTGCGCACATGCATAGGAAGCTGGGGTGTGTGTGTGTGCACATGCACTTAAGGCTAGGATGTGTATGTGTGTGCACATGCACTTAAAGCTTCGGGTGTGTGTGTGTGTGCACATGCATAGGAAGCTGGGGTGTGGGTATGTGTGTGTGTGCACATGTGCACTTAGGAAGCTGCGGGGTGTGTGTGTGTGCACATGCACTTAAGAGGCTGGGGTGTGTGTGTGTGTGCACATGGACTTAGGAAGCTGGGGTGTGTGTGTGCGTGTGTGCACATGCATAGGAAGCTGGGAGGTGTGTGTGTGCGCGCACATGCATAGGAAGCTGGGGGTGTGTGTGTGTGTACACATGCATAGGAAGCTGGGGTGTGTGTGTGTGTCCTTGCATGCACTTAAAGGCTGGGGTGTGTGTGTGCGTGCACATGCACTTGAGGAAGCTGGGGTGTGTGTGTGTGTGTGCATGCACTTAAGGAAGCTGGGGTGTGTGTGTGCGCGCGCGCATATGCACTTAGAAGCTGGGGTGTGTGTGTGTGCGCGCACGCATGCACTCTAGAAACTGGGGTGTGTGTGTGTGTGTGCATGCACTTAAGGAAGCTTCTGGGAGTGTGTGTGTGTGTGTGTGTGTGTGTGTGTGTGTGTGTGTGCACATGCACTTAAAACTGGGGTGTGTGTGTGTGTGTGTGTGTGTGTGTGCATGCACTTAAGAAGCTGGGGTGTGGTGCCTGTGCCTGACCTTGGTGAGCTTTGCTCATGTGTGTGTGTGTGTGTGTGTGTGTGTGTGCACATGCACTTAAGGAAGCTGGGGTGTGGGTGTACCTGTGCCTGACCTTGGTGGGGGCTTTGCTCATGTGGCTGCCGGTGTCTGAAACCACCCTGACCATCGCAGATCAACATAAATTGGTTAAAATCTCAGGTTTTTCACCGACTTGTAAAACATAGTGTGAAGCTTTATCACATGTGTTAACAAATTCACTTTAGAGTCACAAGGGTTAAATTTTGCATTTACTACTTTTTATAGCCACTTTCACTGTTGAATGCATCAGATGGAAGTGGTGTAATGATGTCCTTTTTGCAAGCGTGAAATTAGAATACTTACCCATATAAGTATAGAGTTTGATGGATTGAGATGTCAATGTTTTCTGTTTATATATGAATGAATTTTTTTGCTTATTATAAATAGGCTTTTGAAGTTGCTCATCTAAAGATTCACTTTGCGTGTGCGTAGTCAGGGTTTTTTGAGTATTTTTGTTTTTTTTAAATTTGAGTTCTGGGATATATGTGCAGAACTTGCAGGATTGTTACAGAGGTATACATGTGCCATAGTGGCTTGCTGCACCTATCAGCCCATTACCTAGGTTTTAAGCCCCACATGCGTTAGGTATTTGTCCTCATGCTCTCCCTCCCCTTGCCCCCGACCCCCCAACAGCACCCGATGTGTGTTGTTCCCCTCCCTGTGTCCGTGTGCTCTCATTGTTCTACTTCCACTTACGAGTGAGAACATGTGGTGTTTGGTTTTCTGTTCTTGTGTTAGTTAGCTGAGAATTAGGGTTTCCAGCTTCATCCATGTCCCTGCAAAGGACATGAACTCATTCTTTTTTATGGCTGCATAGTATTCTGTGGTGTATATGTGCCACATTTTGTTTATCCAGTCTATCATTGATGGGCATTTGTTTTGGTTCCAAGTCTTTGTTATTGTGAACAGTGCCTCAGTAAACATATATGTGCATGTGTCTTTATGGTAGAAAGATTTATACCTTTGGGTATATACCTAGTAATGGGATTGCTGGGTCAAACAGTGTTTCTGTGTCTAGACTCTTGAGGAATTGCTACACTGTCTTCCACAGTCCCGAGGCTGCACACGTTGCCTGAGTTGATTATTCTCCTGAAAGTATGTTTCTAAGAAGCAATTACTGACACTTGTGATTGTCTGGGACTCATCTCTGAAGTACTACTGCCATAGGGTTGTTTTGTGTTGGCCAATTATCTTTAGCGTTTTCTTTCTCTTTAGAGAAAAAAAGCTTATCAGGTGGAGGAATACTTCAGCCATTTTGGAGTTCAAGTGAGTTTTGTTGAGTTGTTTCACTTCTGATGGCGGGAAATATACCCCTGAGACTAATCACTGCCATCGTGGGAAACGTAAGAAAGAGAAGACTTTCCTTTTTTAGGTCATTTGACTCTGAAGCCATTTGGTTAGTAGGTTCTGTTTTCTTAGTAAACAAAAGGGACATTTAGATCCCAGCCAGCTTTGAGCTTTTGGCATATATTTTATTGTCAAGTGGCCCTCACAGAAAATCACAGCTGTGGATAGCAAGGGAGACCATCTCGCCAGTCACAGATGAACAAGTCTGACCTTATGAACGGCACCTTTCTGTTTGTCAGTGTGGAAGCAGAGCTGCACCTGCATCTGCAACTCTGCGTAAGTCGTCGTCATTTGTCGTGGCTTAAGTAAATGAGTAAAGGCTTTTTTCTTTTGATTTTAATAATTTAAATGTATATATAAAATATAGAAGTGAAACACTAAAAATTACATTTTAGGAATTTCTGTTTGTTTAATCGTTTTAGGAAAGTGCTTTCCAAAGCCTGGGGTTCACAGATTGCCTGCATCCCAGTCTTCTGGGTTGTGAAAGTGCAGACTTCCAGGCACCCACACCTGTCACATCAAATCAGAGTTTCTGCAGATAGATCCCAGGAAAAGGCATTTTTAAAAATAATCTCTACAGTTGATTCTTTTCCACATGAAGGGTTGAAAACCATTAATTGAGGAGAGTACGAGAGCAAAGTAAAGGGGTGGATGGATGGCGTTTCATCGAAGTGCCCCCAGAGCTGTGACACTGCAGGCGGCAGTGCCTTGTTGGATCCTGGAGACAGTGCATTTGAAAGATGCTCGGAAAGCATTCTTAACGGTTGGAAGTGCAGTATCCCTCACAGTTTAGTCATTTAAAAAAGAAGGAATGTTTTCATTGAAACGTACGTATGCCAGCCCTTTAGATTTGGGCGCTTAAAAGAACAGGAATCTGATCATGTTTACTTTCTAGTTCGTTTTACATCAGGGAGGGACGAGATTTGTTTCCTTTCACTGTATTTCTACAAGGAGCATATTATAACTCCATGCTGCAAAGAACAACAGTTAATGGACTTTTTTTCTTAACTAGGGGGAACGCCTAGTTTGAAAATATTATGGCTGAACCAAGAGCCAGAAATGCAGGTTCGGCGCTTGGACACACTCCTCGCTTGTTTCAACCTTTCCTCCTCAAGAGAAGAACTGCAGGCTGTCGAAAGCCCGTTTCAAGCTTTGTGCTGCCTCTTGATCTACCTCTTTGTGCAGGTAATGTCCAGCTGCCCGTTCTAGTCGCTGTAGCCTGCGCTTACTTTATGAGGGGGAGTGTGTGGGATATCGCCATGGCTGATGTCCCGGATTGTCTTTTTCCAATGTCTGTTCCATGGAACATTATTAGTCCTTTGAGGTGCTCTAAAACTAAAAAGAAGATTGTATGGCAAAATACGTACAAGAAACTCTGTCACTACCTCAGCTTTAGAGATTGTATTGGAGACTTAGGAAATCTTGCAGGTGATGGAAGCTGCTTTGGCCTTGACTAAACTTTCTCCAACTTTGTGGACCATAGTGTACCTCCTCTGTCCTCCTGGCATTGTTTGGGTGGTGGTTCTTGTTTCTGGGTTTTAGTGTAAAGGTGAGAAAGGACCAGCTAGAGACCTAGCTTCTCGTAGCTCTTTGCCTCTGGGCAGATTACTTCAGCTTTTTCCTCTGTCAGTTTCATTCCATCTTCTAGCAAATGTTTACTGATTATGTGCCTTCATTTTCTAATCTGAAAATGAGACAATCATAGTAGCTGCTTCCTAGGGCTGTTGGGGCGATATCAGCTGGTGGTGTCATGACCTTCATCATTTATGTCCTCCCATCCAGCTGCGCTAGGCATTGTAGTGCTAGAACCTTTGTTTTAGGCACACTCAGCAAGGTGGACTGTTTCTTTTGCATTAGCTTTATACCTAGTTTATATGTGAAAATCATAAAGGTCAGTTAAAAGATTCACCTTGTTAATAGTTTTCTACATGCACAATATTGCTTGGACACCTTTAGTAAGAGAAAGGCTGAGAACGCTCCCATCTCCCAGCCCCTCTTTCTCTGCATTGCTCCTCCCCACCTCCCTCCCTGGCTCTGTGATTTAAGATGATTTTTGTCCCACTGTTGACAAAGTGTCTACTTCTTCAGGCTGTTGAGACGTCTCATAAGCTTTCTTCACCCCTTCAAGCCATCGTCCCAGCTTCTCTGACCTCCCTATATGGTGGGTCTCCATTGGCATAGCCATTCGGTGTTCACTTACCTGGATTAGAAAATTATTTAATTCTTTTTTCAAACCCAAATTTACTTTACAAATTATTGATTATCTTTAAGAAATGTATTCTTATTGTGGAATTACATCTCAAGGGAATCTTGGACTGATTTTTTCTTTCTAAATGTCCTCTTGGCTCTGCCCATTCTATAGCTTGCTCTACATTTTGCATTTTGTAAGACGTGATATGGCTGAATAGTGCTTAGAGGTTTTATTGCTGCATTATTGGTTTCACATGCACATGCCATGTAAACCTTACTTTTTGCATTATCATTTTGAGTAGATTACTTCTTTATTTGCTCAAGACATAGCAGATTATAAATTAATATAGGATGGCAGGAACTATTTAAAATGTAAATGTAAAAAGAGAGGAGATGAATCCAAGATGGGCGATTAGAAAAGCCATGGTCCATGGCTCTCACAGGAACAAAAAGGGGCAAGTGAATTCAACACCTTCAACTGAAATGCTCAGATTTTCACATTGGGACTGACTAGGCAGACAACACAACCCACAGAGAACAAAGTAAACCAGAGGTGGAGGGCAGGGCCCCACCTGGGAACAGCATGGAGCCAAAGGAACCCACACCCCCAGCCAGGGGAAGCCATGAATGAGTGTGCGACCCTGCCTGGGAAACCATGCTTCTCCCATGGATCTTTGCAACCCATGTATCAGATCCCTTCATGAGCCCATGCCACCAGGGCCTTGGGTCCAATACACAGCTGTTTGGAGTCTCAGCAGAGCAGCCGCTCAGACATACACAGAGACCCAAGAGTTTTACATACTCCGGCTCTGGGATCCCTGGCAAGACAAGAAATCTGTCCGTGCATGTCCCTAGGAAAGGGGCTGAATCCAGGGAGCCAAACGGCATCATTCTACAGGCTCCACTTCCATGGGCACCTCACAATTTAAGACCCACTGGTTTGGAATCCTAGCCAGCCACTGGCAGTGAATTGGAGTCTGCCTTAGATGGGTCCAAGTTCCCAGGAAGAGGGGAGGCCTCAGTTCAGTCAACTCACCTGCTCCAGCCTGCCAGCTTTGGAGAATACAAGCAGTCTGGACAAGGAAGGGACCCCCACCTCCAGTGCAGCACATCAGCTCTACCAAAAAGCAGCCAGATTCCTGATCCTGTTCTCCTGACTGGGTGAGTCCTCCCAATAGGGGTCTCCAGCCACCTCCTACAGGTGGGTGCGGGCCAGCAACAGTTCAGTAACGCTAGGACGGAGCTTCCAGAGGAAGGAGCTGGCTGCCATCTTTGCTGTTTCACAGTGTTCACTGGTTATACCTCCAGGTATGGGAGAAACTGAGGCAGCTGGCATCTGGAGTGGACATCCAGCAAACTGCAACAGCCCTACAGTAGAATGGCCTGTTAAAAGAAAAACAGAAAACAACAACATCAACAAAAAAGACCCCACAAAAACCTCATTCAAAGGTTAGGGATAGGGTTAGAGACCTCAAAGACAAAGGTAGATAAGCCTATAAAGATGAGAAAGAATCAATGCAAAGATGCTGAAAACTGAAAAAGCCAGTGTGCCTTTTCTCCTCCACGTGACTGCAAACACCTCTCCAGCAAGGACACAGAACTGGGCTGAGGCTAAAATGCCTGAATTGACAGAAGTAGGCTTCAGAAGGTGGCTAATAATGAACTTCGCCAAGCTAAAGGAGCAAGTTGTAATCCAATGCAAAGAAGCTAAGAAATGTGATAAAACTACAGGAGCTGATAGCCATAATAGCCGGTTTAGAGAGGAACATAACCAACTTGATGGAGCTGAAAAACACAGCACAAGAACTTCACAGTGCAGCCACAAGTATCAGTAGCAGAATAGACCAAGTGGAGGAAAGAATCTCAGAGGTTGAAGACTGTCTTCCTGAATTAAGATAGGCAGACAAGAATAGAGACAGAAGAATTAAAAGGAATAAACAAAACCTCCAAAAAATATGAGATTATGAAGAGACCAAACTTACGACTGACTGGGTACCTGAAAGAGATGGGGAGAATGGAACCAAGTTGGAAAGCATACTTTAGGATATCATTCAGGAGAACTTCCTCAACCTAGCGAGATAGGCCAACTTTCAAATTCAGAAAATACAAAGAACCCCAGTAAGATACCATATGAGAAGATCAACCCTAAGACACATAATCCTCAGATTCTCCAGGTCGAAATGAAAGAAAAAATGTTAAGGGCAGCCAGAGAGAAAGGCCAGGTCACCTACAAAGGGAAACCCATCAGACTAACAGTGGACCTCTCAGCAGAAACTCTACAAGCCAAAAGAGATTGAGGGCCAATACTCAACATTATTAAGAATTTCAAACCCAGAATTTTATATCCAACCAAACTAACTTCATAAGTGAAGGAGAAATAAGATCCTTTTCAGACAAGCAAATGCTTAGGGAATTTGCCACCAGCAGGCTTGCCTTGCAAGAGCTCTTGAAGGAAGCGTTCAATATGGAAAGGCAAAACCATTACCAGCCACTACAAAAACACACTGAAGTATGCAGACCAGTGATACTTTGAAGCAACCACATAAACAAGTCTGCAAAATAACCAACTAGCATCATGATGACAGGATCAAATTCACACATAACAATACTAACCCTAAACGTAAATGGGCTAAATGCCCCAGTTAAAAGGCACAGAATGGCAAGCTGGATAAAGAGCCAAGACCCATCCATATGCTGTCTTCAAGAGACCCATCTCATGTGCAAAGACACACATGGGCTCAAAATAAAGGGTTGGAAGAAAATTTACCAAGCAAATGGAAAACAGAAAAAAGTAGAGACTGCAATCCTAGTTTCTGACAAAACAGACTTTAAACCAACAAAGATAAAAAAAGACGAGAGTATTACATAATGCTAGAGGTTTCAATTTAACAGGAAGAGCTAACTGTCATATGTATATATGCACCCAGTACAGGAGCACTCAGATTCACAAAGCAAGTTCTTAGAGACCCACAGAGACTCCCACAGAATAATAGTGGGAGACTTTAACACCCCACTGACAAATATTAGACAGATCATCAAGACAGAAAATTAATGAAGACATTCAGGACCTGAACTCAACTCTGGATCACTTGGACCTGATAGATATCTATAGAACTCTCCACCCAAATTCAGCATAATATACATTCTTCTCATTGCTGCTCGGCACTTACTCTAAAATGGATCACATAATAGGAAGTAAAACACTTCTCAGCAAATGCAGAAGAGCTGAAATCATAACAGTCTCTTAGACCACAGAGCAGTCAAATTCGAACTCAAGATTAAGAAATTCACTCAAAACCACACAGCTACATGGAAATTGAACCACCTGCTCCTGAGTGACTCTTGGTTAAATAACAAAATTAATGAGAACAAAGAGACAACATACCAGAATCTCTGGGATGCAGCTAAAGCAATGTTAAGAGGGAAATTTATAGAACTAAATGCTAGAAAGATCTCAGGTTAACCACCTGACATCTCTGGTAAAAGAACTAGAGAACCAAGGGCAAAAGAAAACCCCAAAGCTAGCAGAACACAAGAAATAACCAAGATCAGAGCTGAATTGAAGGAGACAGAGACACAAAAAACCCTTTAAAAAAAAATCATCAAATCCAGGAGCTGGTTTTTTGAAAAAAATTAATAGACCACTAGCTACACTAATAAAGAAGAGAGAAGAGTCAAATAAAAACAATCAGAAATGATAAGGGGATTATCACCACTCACCTCACAGAAATATAAGCAACCATCAGAGAATACTATGAACACCTCTATGCACATAAACTAGAAAATCTAGATGAAATTGATAAATTCTTATACACATATGTCTTCCCAGGACTGAACCAGGAAGAAACTGAATCCCTGAGTAGACCAATAATGAGTTCTGAAATTAAGGCAATAATAAATAGTTTACCAATCAAACAAACAAAATCCAGAACCAGACGGATTCACAGCTGAGGTCTACCAGAGGTACAAAGAAGAACTGGCACCATTTCTGCTGAAACTATTCCAAAATATTGAAAAGGAAGGACACCTTTCTAACTTGTTCTATGAGGCCAGCATCATCCTGATACCAAAACCTGGTAGACAGAACAAGAAGAGAAAACTTCAGGCCAATATCCTTGATGAACATTGATGCAAAAATCCTCACTAAAATACTGGCAAACCAAATCCAGCAGCAGATCAAAAAGCTTATCCACCATGATGTAGTTGACTTTATCCCTGGGAACCAACTTCAGCAAAGTCTCAGGATATAAAATTGCTAGTATTCCTATACACCAACAACAGGAGAGAGAATCACAAATAAACTCCCATTCACGATTGCTACAAAAAGAATAAAATACCTGGTAATACAGCTAACAAGGGAAGTGAAGGACCTCTTCAAGGAGAACTAAAAACTACTGCTCAAAGAAATCAGAGAGGACACCAACAAATGGAGAACCATTCCATGCTCATGGATAGGAAGAATCAATATTGTGAAATGGCCATATGGCCCAAAATAATTTATAGATTCAATGTTGTTCCCATTAAACTACCATTGACATTCCTCACAGAATTAGAAAAAAACTATTTTAAAATGCATACAGAACCCAAAAAGAGCCTGAATAGCTAAGACAATCCTAACCAAAAAGGGCAAAGCTGGAGGCATCACACTACCCGGCTTCAAACTATACTACAAGACTGCCATAACCAAAACAGCATGGTACTCATACAAGGACAGAAACAGAGACCAATGGGACAGAATAGAGAACTCAGAAATAAGATGACACATCTACAACCATCTGATCTTTCACCAACTTGACAAAAATAATCTATAGGGAAAGGACTCACTGTTTAATTAATGGTGCTGGGATAACTGACTGAGCCACATACAGAAAATTGAAACTGGATCCCTTCATTACACTATATACAAAAATTAACTCAAGATGGATTAAAGACTTAAATGTAAACCCAAAAGTATAAAAACCCTAGAAGAAAATCTAGGCAATGCCATTCAGAACATAGGCATGGGTAAAAACTTCATGATGAAAACACCAAAAGCAATTGCAGCAAAAGCAAAAACTGACAAATGGGATCTAATTAAAGAGCCTCTGCACAGCAAAATAAACTATCATCAGAGTAAACAACCTACAGAATGAGAGAAAATTTTTACTATCTATTCATCTGACAGAGGTCTAATATCCAGTCTACAAGGAACTTAAACAAATTTACAGGAAAAGAAGCAAACAGTCCCATTAAAAAGTAGACAAAAGACATGAACAGACACTTCTCAAAAGAGGACATATGGCTGGGCACGGTGGCTCACACCTGTAATCCCAGCACTTTGGGAGGCTGAGGCAGGCAGATCACGAGGTCAGGAGATTGAGACCATCCTGGCTAACACGGTGAAACCCCATCTCAAAAAAAGAAAAAAAAAATTAGCCAGGCATGGTGGTGGGTGCCTGTAATCCCAGCTACTCAGGAGGCTGAGGCAGAAGAAGTGGCGGGAACCTGGGAGGCGGAGCTTGCAGTGAGTGGAGATCATGACACTGCACTCCAGCGTGGGCAATAGAGCGAGACTCTATCTTAAAAAAATAAATAAATAAAAAAGGGATATATATGCAGCCAACAAACATATGAAGAAAAGTTCAACATCACTGATCATTAGAGAAATGCGAATCAAAACCACCATGAGGTACTGTCTCATGCCAATCAGAATGGCTGTTATTAAAAAGTCAAAAAACAAATGCTGGCAAGGTTGCAGAGAAACAGGAACACTTTTACACTGTTGGCGGGAGTGTAAATTAGTTCAACAATTGTGAAAGACAGTGTGGTGATTCCTCAAAGACCTAGAGGCAGAAATACTATTTGACCCAACAATCCCGTCATTGAATCTACCCAAAGGAATAGAAATCATTCTATTATAAAGATACCGGCATGCATGTGTTCACTGCAGCACTATTCACAATAGCAAAGAGTTGGAATCAACCTAAATGCGTATCAGTGATAGACTGAGTAAAGAAAATGTGGTACATATACATCATGGAATACTATGCAGCCATAAAAAGGAACTGGATCATGTCCTTTGCAGGGACATGGATGGAGTTGGAGGCCATTATCCTCAGCAAACGAACACAGGAACAGAAAACCAAACACCACATGCTCTCACTCATAAGGGGGAGCTGAATGTTGAGAACACAGGGTCACAAGGCAGGGAACGACACACACTGGGGACTTGGGGGGGGTGGGGGAGGGGGAAGGAGAGCATCAGGAAGAATCGCTAGTGGATGCCGGGCTTAATACCTAGGTGATGAAATGATCTGTGCAGCCACCCATCATGGCACATGTTTACCTGTGTAACAAGCCTGCACATCCTGCACATGTACCCCCAAACTTAAGCGTTGGAGGAAAAAAAAGTAAAAAGATACTTCTTTTGATATTATATATAACATGCATGCACTGTTGGTTAGTATTCCTGTTGTCTGATAGTCTGCAGGTGTCTGTGGTTAACATTGCGTCGCAGTGGGACTTGAGAAGTGGTGGTAGCCAGTAAGCTGACTTTTCTCACCCGTAAAAATACATGTGTTTTGTTGTTGGTAACCATGTGTGTACACAACAATGGGGAGGCCATCCATGGTGGGCACTCCAGGAGGGTCATGCTGCCTGCTCTTCCGCATTGACAATGCTGATCCTGTGTGTGGCCATGCAGCGCAGTTCTGCCTTCTCATTACTGCGCAGGTGGCTGTCAGTTATTTAAATTCACTTCAAGGAGAAAAAGCCCAGGACCCCAGAACAGCAACATCACATCCCTATTTGTATAAACCTGAAGCAAGACAAACATCGGGAGGAAAATTTCCACTTTACCTTTTTTCTATTAATGAAGACCTCTTAAATAAAATCTCTTTAGTGCAAGTTGGCATGAGCAGACTTGGTTACTTGTCTTTAAAGGAGATGTTTAAATTGGAACTTTTTAAAACTGGAAAACAACAGATTGACAAATCAATTTGGCATTCACTAGATGAAGGTGGTGCTATATTATTCACAGGGATAATAACTCAGAATGAATAAGGCTAAAAAGATACATTTATAAAAATATTACAGTTTTATATATTAAGCCTAAATTCGATGTTTTGATGTGTAATATGGGATAAAACCGCATACTGTTCAGTGCACGAAAATGACAGAGAAACTAAATACAGTTGTGTCTTGATATATGTGGGGGATTGGTCCCAAGACCCCCAAGGATGCCAAAATCCATGCATACTCAAGTCCTGCAGTCAGCCTGCGGAGCCCACGTATTTGAAAAGTTGGCCCTTTATATTCGGGTTTTACATCCCATGAACACTGTATTTTTCCATCTGCATTTGGTTGGAAAAAAATCCACATATAAGTGAACCCATGCAATTCAAACCTGTATTGTCAGGAGTCAACTGTACTCTCATTTGGTCTGAGCTCCCAGTTAACAACAGCCACAAATGATTTTATTAAAGACTCATCTGAGAATACCCTCTGGAAAGGTAAGTTTACATCATAGAAATGCACATATTTTCTATTCCTTTTATTCCAAGGTAACAGCCACTTGGAATAAAAGTGGAGTAGGATAGTGACATGGTGAGTAAAAGCATCGGCAGGTCCACACGGCAGTCAGCACCCCCACCCCGGGGGAAGCAAATGCCGTCATCCTCCCGGGGAGCACAGGAGTCTTTCTGATTTATGGTGGGGTCGTTCTTATTGCAAATAGGCATGTTAGCCATTTTTAATATCCAAGAGGAGTCAGTGAAGTTGTTACTGATGGGTTTGCTGTTGGCTTTCCTGTTTCTTTTTCCGCAAAAGCCTTTACTTGCCACAGAAGGTGCTCTTCTGTGAGAAGCAGCTCTTGTGGTCTTAGGACGGTGTGGAATCGTTCAGTCCGCGGGCATGTTCTGCCTTTTTCTGGGTGGCAGAACTCGGTGGCTGGGAGGGGAATGTCTCGACCCCCTCGCCGAGTGGGGCAGGGGACGGGATGTGGCAAAAGCACTGTCTGCTGTTGTTAGGGCCTGGACCGTTCAGATCTTCCTCGCTCTTCACGCCCTCTCCTCATCTCCGGCATCTACTTCACACCCAGGATACTCAGTATGCCCTTTGCTGTCTCTTGTTACTCTGTCCCTCTTTCCTCTTCTCACTTTGTTGTGTCTTTTGATTCCACAGAGTGTTAGTAGGGTCTCGTATTGTGGGTTCTGATTTACTCTCAACTAGGATTCGAGGACACAGGTTTCCTCTGGGTTGCTGAAAGTGTATGATGACCCCAGCTCAGCCCAGCTGTGGATACTCACGCTCTGAAAACCCCTAAACTGTTTGCTCTGTGCAGTTTGTGCCGAACATGATCACCTGTCTGGCCCTAAGACCTGGTCTTGGTTGGCACCTCATGGTTATTCCCAGATCTTCTGGAGAGTTCTACCTCATTAGAGTCTAACAGGACTAGAAATTTAGGCTCCCCTTCCAGTTGGGCTGTGAGTTGTGGGCACAACTGGGGACACCATAGAGAGAGCTTCACAGCCAGGAGCCAAGGATGGTGTGAAGAGGCTGTGCTCTTTCCACTGCACACTGTCCGCTGCCTGAGGTCTGATGCACCATGTGCGTGCCTGTGCATGCGCCCGTTTGTGCACCTGTGCGTGTACATGCATGCCTGTGTGTGTGTGCATGCCTGTGCACCTCTGTGTGCTTATGTGCACATGTATGTGCCTGTGCGTGTGCCTGTACGTGCCTGTGTGTGCGTGTTTGCACCTATACACACACTCATAGTTAGTAACTGAGATCAATTTGTAAGAAATGTTTAATTTTTCCTGTAGCCTAACACTGGCCTTTCTCTGTCCTTTTCAGGTGGACACTCTTTGCCTGGAGGATTTGCATGCGTTTATTGCACAGGCCTTGTGCCTCCAAGGAAAATCCACCTCGCAGCTTGTAAACCTACAGGTACAGACATGACCAATTAGTTGTCACTGCCCGGAAGACAGCTGTGCAGTCCAGCCTTCTCTTCCCCGTTATAGTTGAAGTTTCACAGAAAAGATCGGGAAGGCATTTTAGTCAGGATCTTTTCGTGATGCAGTAGTTTGTCTCTTTAAGGGCTCTGGGATGAGCAGCCAGATGAGGTACTAACAGGCGCTGCCTCAATTCCAGTTTTGTGAAACTTGTCATTCTCAGTACTGCCTTGATAGTCTCGTGATTGAAGAAAGCACTTATTAAACATAATGTTTGGTTTCTCGAGACAGAGTCTCCCCTGTCTCCCAGGCTAGAGTGCAGTGGCGTGAACTCAGCTCACTGCAACCTCAGCCTCCTGAGTAGCTGGGATTACAGGCACACACCACCACACCCGGCTAATTTTTGTATTTTCAGTAGAGACGGGGTTTCACCATGTTGGCCAGACTGGTCTAGAACTCCTGACCTTCAGTGATGCACCTGCATCAGCCTCCCACAGTGCTGGGATTATAATTGTGAGCTACTGTGCCCAGCCAAAACATACTTTTTTTAAAATGTGTTTTTTTGGGGTTTGTTGTTGTCGTCGTTTTTGAGACAGAGTTGCCCAGGCTGGAGTGCAATGGTGCAGTCTCGGCTCACTGCAACCTCTGCCTCCCGGGTTCAAGCAATTCTCCTGCATCAGCCTCCCAAGTAGCTGAGATTACAGGCGCCTGCCACCACACCCAGCTAATTTTTGTATTTTTAGTAGAGATGGGGTTTCACCCTGTTGGCCAGGCTGGTCTGGAACTCCTGACTAAAAAATGTGTTTTGCTGGGATCTCCATTATGTGAGTTAAAGCATCCGTCTTTTAACTTCGTGGGTTTAATAGTCTGTAAATCTTCATCAACTCCATGTGCTGCGTGTGCGTTTTAAACTTTTGAACTTTAATAATTTAAGTTGTAAAAATCCCAGGAATAATTTGGAATATCACTTAAAATGAGTCAACTTGACCATTTCCTACAGATTTGCAGTGCCCTCTTAGCCCTGGGACCCCGCCTCCACACCTGCCTGGGAAGTTTGTTCCATGAACCGTCCCTCCAGCTCTCTGTCTTCTCTACCTCCTCTCTCTAACTTCATTATTTTCACTGGCTGTGGTCCCTTGCTGAAAAACTCAGGTGTCTCCCATTTGGGGGAAAAAAATTCTCCTACAGCAAGGTTTCTATTCCCTCTGTTTCCCTTCTCTGGCAGGCTCTGGGACGTGGCTGCGTGCTGGTGATTTGTGCTGCATTTCCTCTTGTTCAGTCACTGAGAGAGATGCCTGCCCCTTCCATTGCATGAAGTCGATGAAGCAAAGGCTGACAAACGCCACTTCCATATCCAGGGCCCTGAGTCTCCTCCACCTTCTCCGACCTCTCCTCCTTTGAGCCTGTGATGTCCCTTTCATTTATCTTTGTTCAGCAGCGCCTTTCACATTGTGGGTCTTGTTCTGAATCCACATGCCAAGTCACTACCCCAGAGAGTCCTGGCCAGGTTGATCTGGAGTGTGTTCTGAGAGGGACTCGTGGGCGAGAAGCCAGAGTGTCCCACTCAGGGTTTTCAGTTTCCCTCCTCTCCTAGACTAACACCCTTTGAGAAAAGGGGCAGTGTTGTTGCTCCTCTTTATTTTCGAGTACCCAGCATCCTGCCAACGTTGATTTAAGATTAAATTAATACCTGCAATGAGAAAAGGGGCAGTGTTCTTGCTCCTCTTTATTTTCGAGTACCCAGCATCCTGCCAATGTTGATTTAAGATTAAATTAATACCTGCAATTTAAAAGTATGCATGAGCGTTTGCTGAGACAGGCAGAGTCTGTCTGATTCAGCAAAGTGATTGTGCAAATACAAAGCAGGTGTCTAGATAAAGCCCCATCTTTACAGAACTCCCTCTGACACCTCTCTCTGGGGTTCCCTATAATTCTAGTCTCAAGAGCTGATGGGGGCACTTGGGACATGGATGCCCGGGGGCCCTTCTGAGGCTGGTGCTGTTGAAACACAGATGCTGGCATGCCTGTCCTTGCTTCCCACAATCATCCTCTTCAGATAACTGGTGGCCTTTTCATTTCTCACCTCTGTTACCTGGAAATGTTATGAGCTTGTAGATTGCAATGGTGAGACCTACAGTTGGTGAAGCTAAAAGCCCTTTCATACATATGCATATAGATGACCATGGAATGATTTTCTTATTCACTGGATTGGCTCTTGGGTTGAAAAGCAAAGCTAGGGCTCTGGAGTTTACAACATCAGAATGAAGGGAGGAGAGGATGGGGCAGAGTGCGGAAAAGGAGGGAGGAGAGGGTGTGGTGTGCCTGGGGCACGTACTCCTGAAACCCCCAGTTAGGCTGAGCCCTAGGCCATCTCCTCTCTCCTGCAGCTCCCTCCTGGCACTTTACCCTTGTGGAATTGAATATGTATTTGTGTGTGTGTGAAGCTGGTCAGACTTTGAGCCCACTTGGATTTTCTGAGACCAAAATGTCATAAACCAAGGCTAATGAGAGGTTTATGTTTGAACCTGGAGGACGAGGATTCATGCTGGCTGTGGGAATTTCTCAAGATGGTGGGCAGAAAAGAGTCTAGGTTCATCTGCTGCTTGGTCTGCAGGGTTCCTTCTTGCCTTACTAGGGCTGACATCTGTGGTCTATGGCATGCATTCTTGGCTGTTTGAAACAAAGTTGTGTCTTGGACTTCACCTTTGGTTTTGCCCCTTGTTCTCAAATAATGTCCACCTGAAGAAAGAGGTTGTAGGCAGTGCTTTTGATGATAGCAGATACTGAACCATGAAACCATGGAGGAGAGAATTACCAAGGAAAAAGGTCCAGATGTTTTCTGTTCATGAACTGGATATGTCCTTCTGAGGGAATTCAAATCAAAGAGTTGGCACAACTGGGCGGTGGCAGTGGCAGAGTGGCTTGAGCACAGGGCCTCTGACACCGCCCCCTGCAAGGCTGCCTGGAGCAGGGCTCTGTTGGAATCATGGAAGGAACACACACCCTTTTTGAGCCTATCAGAATTGCAAAGCCTGGCCAGTTGGTGCAAGTCTTTATCCGCCTGCCATCACCATTGGGTGGGGTGGTCTGTGACAAGACTCAGCAGGTGTTGGTAAAAGGACCCTTGACCAGAAACACAAAGGGGACAGAGCAGGAGCTCCTCATGATCATAACAGCAGTGAGCTGCTGCTTGTTCTCGGTGGGAAAATGCTTGGAGCCTAAGTCTTGTATGGAAAAATAGATAAATAAGCAAAGTGTAGACTCAGTGGCATTCTATCATTCAGTGGCATGTTGCACATCCAGACTCTGCGGCTGTTGGGAGGTGGCACTAACTCGCTGTTCTTGGGAGTTAGAGTCTGCTGCCTGAAAGATGAAAGGGGAGCAGAGACCTCCCCAGTTATCCATGTGAGATGAGAGCTTGGTGTGTGGGGAGCTGAGAGCTGGGAATCATGGGTGGTGAAAGCTGTTAGGTTCTGGCCAGTTGCCCTGGCAGAGCCTCGCTGGCTCCTCGGAAAGAGTAGGAATCTCTCCATTGCATCGGGGAACGGGGGATGGCCGGGAAGGGGAATGGCAAGTGGGGAGGGGCAGGCAACTGAGTCTACTTGGCTGGACCTGTGCTCTGAGGGGCAGGTGCCAGGGGCATGAGGGAGAGTGGCATGTGGGCGCACCTGAATGGGGTGCCCCTGGTGGCCCACACCTGTCAGGGGCCAGTGTCACCCACAGGAGGGGAAGCGTCACTTGGGAGGTGGGGGGTGGAGTTGAGAGAGCTCAGGGCCCACATGGTCTCTGGTGTGGGCTGAGTGGGAGTTGAGCAGAGCCAGCCACAAGGCTTAGAAGGTGAGAGACTAGGTGAATGCAGCTGTTGAGAAGAACACGTGACAGTTTCCAACAAATGAGTACTTTGTCGGCATGAGTACGCAAAATGAGCAGTGTTGTGGGCCTTGATCTTCCCTTAGTCCTGTTGAATATGGCCTCAGGTCAGGACACACATACCGCCCTGCCCAGCCTTGGATAAGCTCACGTTATTTTTTAGATTTTTTTTCTCCTTGTTGCCATATTCATATTCAGGACTTTGATGAGAGAAGAATGAGGCAGAACATGCTCATTGCAGCTGAGCCCACACTGCTTTGATCCTTTTCTTCTCACCAGAAACAGTTCATTAACCTAGAATAAGTCACTTTTAAGCTTGTTTTAAATTGTGACAATTCTGATTTAAACAAATTTTTATTTTTAGGTTATAGAGAAGCTATAAAACTCACCAGTAGAAGTCGAAAATAAAATAATTCTATGCAATTGAATCTCCAAATGATATTTTTATTTTGCTACAAATTAATGAAACTTTAAATGATAATGATACTCTCACTTTATCAAAAGCTTCAACCAGGGATTACCAGACTGTCGTCCATAGGCCACATTCTGCCACCAGCATGTAGTGAGTCCTGTGAGCTAAGAATGGTGTTTGTTTCTAAATGGTTAGGAAAAAATCAAAAGAATCATATTCCATGATGTGAAAATTACATGAAACGCACATTTCCGTGTCCAAAATGGTTGTCTTGGCACATAGCCATGCTCAGTCATTTACAGCTACCTTTGCCCTGCAACAGCAGAGTTGAACGGCTGCGAGGGACATCATATGGCCCCCAAAGCCAAAAGTGTTTCCATCTGGCTCTTTCCAGAAGAGCGTGCTGACCCTTGGCTAGAGCCAGCAGGTCCGTCCGCGGGGAGACGCGGGACGGGGAGCCCCATGCTTTTGTGTCTGTGCCCCTCCTGCAGCCAGGTCTGCACGCACACGCAGTGACAGTAATAACCCCATGCGTGAATGTGGCAGGTTTTAAAGACATTAGAGGGCTTCGGTAGTTAGTTTTCATGTCATTCCTTTGAGGTAATTAAGTCCTATCTTATTCTTAGAAGAATTAAGATACAAAGAATTTTGTGTCTTGGCCTTGGTCCTTATAAAGGAGCTGAAGTGAGGATGTAAATTCGCTGACTCTTGGT